CTCAGTCAACTTTTTAAGAATATGAGACAATTTATTTTCAGCTCCATATAGAACAAAGTAACATTGGGACACCTTTTTAAAAAAGACTTTTCCTTATTACCTGGGGGCCAGATCTAGACAAACAAAAAACATTCTTCCTTTTTCCTTTTACCTGGGATTGCAAAAGAACAGATGACAGATATTTCATAACTCATTCCTTTTTTTTTTTATTGTATTACTAGTACAGTCCTCCTAAATAATGTCTTAAATTTTTATCTTTCTTGGAAAGAGAGAGAACACTCTGCCCTCACTGTAGGGAACACAAGCCTATTATCCGCTCTGAGAGTCGAGAGGACAGAGGTGCCAGCTGCGATGACATCCCTCTGTTTGAAGAGGATGCAGGGAAAGGATAGAACGAAGCATACAAGTGGGGTGTCTGTGCCCTACAACTAGGGTTAGAAGTATTTTCTATTTTATCTACCAGTGGCCCAGATTCATAGTGTTCTAGCAAAGCAGGGGAGAGGGCTAACTAGTAAACGCTTTCATTATGGCCAATAGAAAGCAATTTTCAGCAACTGGAAAATTATATTGTCATAGCTTACTTCTTATAATTAGCCTTTAAAATATCTGTAGGGATTTGTCACTTGCATAAAGGTTTGAAAATACATCAAAGGGACATGTCCCCCTTGCGATTTGTAGAAATTCAAATGCTGTTAATCATAATATCCACATATCACAGACTATTGTGTATTGTTCCCAAGATCACCTCTTGGGTTAACACATTTTTAAAATATTTAAAATGCTATTTTTGTAAAAGCGATTCAAAAACATAGTTAATGGATCTATTTATATCTTTAATTTGGGGTTGAAGTGAATGTTTTCCTTGGGATTTTAAATGCACCCGGCAACTAAAAAATAAATAAATAAATATATGGTGATAATCGCTGTATGCTGTTACTTGGAGGAAACTTTCTAATAATTCAGAGTGTTATTTAAATTTAGAAAGGTCTGCCTCTGACTAGACTATAAATTGGTTTGAAGTGTTTTTTTTTTTTTCAAGCTGATGTCTGTTTAATTGGGCTCTGACAATGGTAGGTTAGTGTATTCATTCTGCAGTGTTAAAAACGAAAAGATCCGCTTTACTTTTAGCCTCTTTAATAAATATTTGAATGTAGTTGTAAATGACCCTAAATCTTGCAGAGGTTTTGCAGGGTAGCTGTTTTCTCCGTTTCTTTTTTTTTTTTTTTTTTTTTTTTTT